TTTTTAACTTCTCAGCTTGCTGTTACATCCAGCAAGTATTAAAAAAAATTAGTAATAGTGACAGCAAAATTAAAAAGCATGGCATACAAGTTGAAAGTACTGAGACAAAGATTACATAAAAGAAACAAATTGTTAAAGTTTTAAGAGCTGAACTTAGAGATCTTAAACAAAATTTGCAAACATATTATTACAGTAAGATAATATACAATCTTAAAGCTTAAAAAAAAGGCAATGAAAATTTCAGAACTTTAAAAGCTAAAATAAGTTAAAGTTGTATATAATATTAAGGCAAATAAAATGCTTGTAGCTAGTTACCAATATTTGCTTGCATATATGTAAAGCAGTTGATCATCTAACTTTTATTTATATTTTCATTTAGCATCTTTTAATGATAGTGATCAATCGATCATCTCAAATATATCAAACGCAATGTCAGGCAAAGTTGCAACTAACCATCTTACCATAAGCAAACTGTGTGACATTCAAGGGGAAAGTTTGAATGAGCTAAACTGCCATTTACACGCTCTTGATATAATTGCTACCTCATGGCTGGGTATGATTGTATGGCATTTAAAATAGTTTTGGCTATGAACAAGTTGAGGTTTAAACATGGCAAAGGTGATTTAAAAAGATTTGTTAGTTTTTAGCTGATCAAAAACTACCACAAGGTATCATTCCAAGGTATCTAGGAAATCGTCTTCATATTTTTTTTCATACTTGTTTTATTTTTATTAAAAATTAAAAGAGTTTGAGCATTTTTTAACCATTTAACATTATTATGCAGAACTATAAAAAAAAGTTCTTAGAGCTGTATTTTGTAATAAAACAGCTCTAAAGAAAAAGTGTGTTCTTGCATTATTTGGAAAACCACCTCCTCAAAGTTAAATAAAACTTTGTCATCCAGTTTCCAGCCTGGATGGCGAAGTTTTGTGTGACTGTTGAGGAGGCAAATTTTGACCATTATAGTGGAATCCTGATATTAAAAAATATTTTACTAAAAATTGCAGATTCTAAATCAAAACCAGGTTCACTTTTGAAAATGACCTTGAACCAAATATTTTAGATCCAATAAAAAATGTTTTGTTTGATTGATGAACACTTTATCAATATGACTTTTGCTTGTCTTATTGCAGTGGGAGATGTCATAACTCATCAATGTAAGAGATATTTCTCACTTTCTATTAACCAGACTCTCAAGGAGGAAGTAGCATGTGCAAGGCTTCACGATATAAATAGTGAAGAGTTAATGGGAATGTTTAGTGAGGCTGAAGAAAAATCACCTAATGCAACAGTTTGTTATGTTTCATACAAATTAAATTACCTAGATAGTTTAGATCAATTATCTAGAGAAAATATTGTTATGTGGTGGATTCAGAAACCCATAAAAATGTAGTTATGTGGTTGATTCAGAAACCCATAAAAATATAGTTATGTGGTCTATTCAGAAACCCATAAAAATATTGTTATGTGGTCTATTCAGAAACCCATAAAAATATAGTTATGTGGTCTATTCAGAAACCCATAAAAATATAGTTATGTGGTCTATTCAGAAACCCATAAAAAGAGATGATAAATCAAATGAAGCATAATGATATATGAGTAGATATTTCAAAAAAATATGTATGCAAATGCCAAAAAATGGATGAAAAGGACAAAAGAAAGTTAAAATGACAGTTGCTTGAACTCTTTTACAATGAAATAAAGTGTTTAAATACATTGTAAATACAACTTCATGACTAAGATGATGTAATGTCAGATAGAATTGTTGGGCAAAAACTTTGCCATGAATGGTACAATAGTAAGTATTCAAAGTATGACATGAATGATGGTAGAGAATAAAAAAACTTGATAAAACAAAACAAGACAAAGTTTACACAATTTCTTACTGGAATAAAGGTAATACTGATACTGACGCTGTTGACTACAACATGAAAAAATTTCAGCTTCCGCTGATGTTGGACTAAGAGAGTTGATTTTTTTTTGAAGTGTAATATGTAACAACTTATGATATTACTTGTAATGAAGCTTTAAAAATAGATACTGCAAGTGATAAAACTTGCAAAACAGATACAACATATGATGAAACTTGTATAAAGGTATTGTAAGTAATAAAACTTGAAGTAGTCATATCAAGTCAGGTATGCCTGGTATTAAACCATATGTTTTTGTTTTACTTTTTTTTATAAATGTTTTTAGAGAAGAATAAAAGTATTTGACTTGCAATGACCTTTGCACAAGTGTTGTGACTTGCAAAATATTTTGATAGGCAGCTCTGGCTTATCCTCACGTGGTGTCTATTGTTACAAATGATTATTATAGTGTTCCATTTATGAAATTGACTATCTTAATTATTTACTAAAAGCTAAGACAACTATTTAAACTTAGGATATCTAAAATGTTTTAATACAGAACAATAAAATTGATTGTTACATTTTTTTATAGGATACAACACTGATATTTTTGGTAATGAAATAAAATATATTTAATGAAATATCAAAAAATGAAATATACTAATTTATTTTGTTTGTTAAAGATACAATTAATTTTAAGAATTCAACATCTTTTTATTGTAGGTTGTGGGTAACCATTACCACTCTATTTAACAAACTTCTCAACTTAACCAAAATTTACGAATAGCAGCGAAAAGACTTTTTTTTCAAAAGTAGGCTCGGTTGTGGTCTTTATCTTTAGCTTGTAGATTATACTTGGTGCAAAAAGCCTAATTCAGGTTTTAAATTGTTAACTTATTTTAAATTGTTAACTCATTGTCAGGTTTTAAATTGTTAACTCATTTTAAAATAATTATAGTTGTTATTATAAAGATTGATTTATTTTACTTATTTATTTTTTTAGGTTGGAAGGGGGGGGGGGCACACGCCCCTCCCACAAGTCAATTAGCACACCACCAATAAATGAAATTCTTGTAGCAAAAAAATTTTTTATGTTTTTTATACTGTGTACTAGTTTCACTTATTTTATTAAATATAGAAATATTTATTTATAATTAGAGAATTAAATATTTTTGAAATTAGGGTGTGTTAAACCATCACCACCATATCCACCACCAACTTTAATAAACATCAATCATTGACGGTCTGGAATAAAATTATAGCAATTTTTTGTATAAAAAAAATAACCGTTTGTTGAAAAAAAAAACTTTTTATTGAAAGAAATATGCTTATTTTTAGGGTAAAGGTGGTGGTTCGGCACCCCCTCTAGCCCCCAGGAAACGCCCAATAGATGGACGATGTTATAAATTTGTAGCCCACAGTTACACCTATCTTTTGATACTAAGTTATAGGTATTTAGACAAGAATTGACAAAGTTATAACAATTTAAGTAAAGAAAAATTAAATTTTGACCACAGTTTCTTCAACAAATCCATATATCAAAAATTTGCGACTAAAAACGTCATAACTTTTTGTACAATAGTCCGATTTTAATAATTTTTTCACCTTTAAAATACTGTATTGAAGCACTTTCTAATGATATATAACAATCTAACCTTTGATCAATTTAAAATTTTCAATCCACATACCTACTATTTAACTGTAATTTAGACATATAATTGTACTGGAATTTGAGATCCCATTGAAATTTATCTTTAGAAGTAATAATATTGATAGTTCCCAGCAAACAATAGACGTCTTTAGACCGTCTATAATTGGTCTAATTTGTATCTATTGCCGATACGTATATTTTAGACGTATATTAGAGATCAAAAAGACGTCTGATTCTAGAGATACTAATTTTGCTCTGTTTTAGATGCATATTAGATGCATAAAATAGATCGTGCATAGATAATTTTTTTTCATTTAAACTTAGATGTCTATAAGATGTCTTATATAGATTTGTTAAAAAACAAGAAAAAAATATCAACTAATTTTACGGAGCGACAATTATAAATGACCGCCATTTAAAAACCATGCTTAAACTTATTACGAAAAAAGCATGAAGATTTTAAACTATGGAAAACATTTATGATTATTTCTTTTAATAAATTTTAAATAATAAAATAACATGCTATTATAGTTCACAAAATATTTCGATGATTTGATGCTTAGCATGTTTGCTAAAATCCTTGTGATTTGAAATTTATTTTGCAGAAATATTACAAAATTAATATTTTCAAGTTGATATTTTTATTTCTAGAATAAAAGATAATGTAATTAAAATATATGTATATATATATATATATATATATATATATATATATATATATATATATATATATATATATATATATATATATATATATATATATATATATATATATATATATATATATATATTTTGTTGACAAAAGGTTGTTTTTCAGTGCATGATTATAGTTTTTTTTGGGACAATACATTTGTTGGTATATTATACCAACAAATTTATTGTCCCAAAAATATAATATTTGTTTCTCTGCATGTTTTTCTAAGCAAGTAATTATGCACTAAACAAGTGGTTGACAAAGAATACCAACAAATTTATTGTCCCAAAAAAAAACTATAATCATGCACTGAAAAACAACCTTTTGTCAACAAAAGAATGGCACAAATTTCCATTGATAAAGTGTAAGATAACAGATAGTCAGTATCTAACTTGTTTTGTATTTTTTTTAAAGGTAACTTAATTACTTTTTTGTAGCAAAATGTTTTATAATTAGATTCATTTTCATGTTGTGAAGAATACAACTTTCTACATCAGATGAGATATATGTTAAAGAAAGCATTAAAAATAAGAATAACAAATCATACCGCTCTTCATTGCCAGAACCTCCGCCACCTATTATGAATAAGCCCAATGCTAAAAGTATAACATAAATATTATAATTTTTTCTTAATGGTTTATAAACTGAAATAAATTCTTGTTTAATTTGATCTGAATAATATCTATCTAGCTATTAGTCTTTTTTATGTATTACTAAGATTTTCTTTTTATTTTAACTATTTGGGTGTCCTATTTTATGTAATGTTGATGAAGTTGTTTGAATTCAGAAATTGAAAGAGTACAAAATTGGTTGAAAGATTAAATTAAATAACAGGTATGGTTGAGGGATTATTTATAGTTCTAATTATAATTATTTCTTTTGAATAGAGTTGTTATCAGATTCAAAGATCGAAGAAGATAATTTTTCTTCACATTTTATTGATGAACACCAAGCAAAGTTCACATTGTCAAAGAGTTTTAAGTTTTAATGTGAGTAATTTTGGTTTTTACACCACTGAATGTTAATGTAGAGGTCTTTTTTATTAATTTGTTTTTGTATTAAAATAATTGTAAAAGATAGGTATAAAAGAATAGAAATGGATTATTTATAATATTGTGATCCGATAAATCATGTGTGTAGCATTTTATCTTTAGTAGTTAAGCAAAATTCTTTAATATCGTAGCCTTTTACAGGATAAAGTTTTAGCTGATTTAAAAAGTAGGTTTTCCAAAATATTATGGCAACTTCTGCGATGGAGTAATAAAAAAACTTACATGTATTTTTGAAATTTTGGTTTAAGTTACTCAAGCATAATTTGAATTTTAAAGTTCTTATTTCATTGTTTTGCTATTTGGTTTTTTGAGCTAAATATGTTAATCAATCTTTTTATTCTTGTTTTTAGAGATGCAAAATGTTATTCTCAAGGAGCTTGCAGAAATAAAAGTTCTTTTAAAAGAAGTTATAGAAATTAAGTTTACAGGCTACTGGGGTGAAGTTGCTAGAATCGGTGGACGAAGTGGTTACACTGGGTAATAAACTAAAAGATAAAACCGAGTATACTAATTTGATAATTTTAAAAAAGATTGGTGGTGGAAAGCCAAGAGAACATGTTTTTTGATTATGTTTTTATTAATTATTAGAAATATGATTAAAAGGGACCAAAAGCAATTCTTTTTGACCGTTATTTGTTATGGATTTACTTTTAACATGACAGTTTGATAAACTCGGGAAGTTCACTGTAGGTGTTTAAGTTTGTTTGTGTGCTAAAGTAAGTGTAATGCTAAACCTTGTTTAGCATTTTATTTTCAAATTTAATGCTTTTACCTTTCATAATTTTAAGCATTCATTTATTAAAATATATTTTAATTTATTACATATATTAAAATAAAAATCTTTATATATTTCAGTTTATTGTTAAAATATTTATCAGGTTATTTTCGAATCAGTTACAGTCCAAATTAAATCGAAAAGGAAATGGGGAAAAGATAAGCTTAGAAAATCTAGTAAATATATGGAGTGTTTTACGAGGTATAGTTTTAATAGTATTTACAAAACTGATATCTGTATTAAAAAGATATTCTTCGACTTTTTTGTGTCATGCTAGAATTTTTGTATCCATAATACAAGTTCCTTTAGTTTTTTCATAAAAAAATTGTTGTTTATTATTGTATCTGGTTGAGATACAAATATATATATATATATATATATATATATATATATATATATATATATATATATATATATATATATATATATATATATATATATATATATATATATATATATATATATATAATACATGTACATATACATAATACATACATACATATAATGCATGTACATATACATAATACATACATACATATAATACATGTACATATACATAATACATACATGTATATAATACATATATATATACATGTATATATGTGTATATACAGTATTGGACAAAACATTTGCAATCAACATCGAACAATGCTAAAAAGTGTTCCTAATTTTATGTCTTAAAAATGAAACGAACTATACTACCACAGCAAACAGTTCAGGAGTCTGGAGTCATACCATGCCATGAAACGAGCAATCAGCTGACAGGTGACAGCACACAGGCAGAATTTCGTTGACAAGTGCCATTTTGCAGCATACATATATATACTGTGAAGCAAGGTGGAGGCAATGTAATGGTCTGGGGGTGTTTTTCTGCTAATGGTCTAGGTCCAATACATCGAATCGATGGAATAATGGACCGTTTCATGTATAAAAATATCCTGAAAGATGTTATGTTACCTCATGCTGAATGGAATATACCAATAAAATGGGTTTTTCAGCAAGACAACGATCCCAAACACACTGCAAAAGTAGTCAAGCAGTGGTTTCAAGACAACCATCTATTGGTGATGGATTGGCCACCTCAATCTTCAGATCTCAACCCTATCGAGAACCTGTGTATCGTCAACCGCAGAGTTAATCATGAATGTGTTCTTAATAAGGATCAACTGTTTGAACAAATCCAAAAGGCCTAGGCAGCGATTCCACAAAGTTTCATTGATCACCTGATCGAATCTATGCCTTAAAGATGCAAGGCTGTGATCGACAGCAAAGGATTCACCACAAAATATTGATATGAATACAGCTTGGTCAACATTTTGTGGAGTTACACTTGTTTTGTCCGGAAGGAAATCAACTTTTTTTAATACTTTTGATTAATTTTTTAATTTTCGTGTACAAATAATGAACTTTGTGATGAATAAAATTTGAAGAACGTTGTCTCTAAACAGTTACATAGTTATTTCTCTAAATTGAAAAAATGCAGCAATTTTATACAAAGAAACTAAATTAGCATCATTTGGTTGCACTGGTTTTGTCCGATACTGTATGTGTGTGTGTGTATATATATATATATATATATATATATATATATATATATATATATATATATATATATATATATATATATATATATATATATATATATATATATATATATATATATATATATATATATATATATATATATATATCAGGGGCGGATGCAGGATTTTTTGAAGTTTGAGATAACTAACTTCCAGACATGGAGCGAACTCAAAACTTTTATATGTTTATAGTTATATCAAATAAGGATACTTTGCATAAAATTGAGATGATAGGAGCCTGGGAACAAAAAAGCCCCAAAATTTTTGCTACACCTGCCTCAAACGTGAGAGCAACAAGTTGATAAAATAATTTTTTTACTATTCTCAACTAAATCTATATTCATCGAGAATTTTTAAAATTTATACAATAATCTCTTAACCTTCAAAAGTTATAGCCACATAAAGTTTGAATCCCCCTCAATTTGAGGGGATTACAAATTTTATAAGACCATTATTATTGAACGCTAAAAGATTGTTTTACAAAATTAAAAATTTCTCGATGAATATAGATTTAGTTGAGAAAAGTAAAAAACTTATTTTATCAACTTGTTGCTCTCACGTTTGGGGCAGGTGTAGCAAAAATTTTGGGGCTTTTTTGTTCCCAGGCTCCTATCATCTCAATTTTTTGCAAAGTATCCATATTTGATATAACTATAAACATATAAAGGTTTCGAGTTCGCTCCATGTCTGGTAGTTAGTTATTTCAAACTTCAAAAAATCCTGTATCCGCCCCTGTTATATAGTTATATCAAATATGGGTACTTTGCAAAAAATTGAGATGATAGGAGCCTGGGGACAAAAAAGCCCCAAAATTTTTGCTACACCTGCCCCAAACGTGAGAGCAACAAGTTGATAAAATAAGTTTTTTACTTTTCTCAACTAAATCTATATTCATCGAGAAATTTTTAATTTTGTAAAACAATCTTTTAGCGTTCAATAATAATGGTCTTATAAAATTTGTAACCCCCTCAAATTGAGGGGGATTCAAACTTTATGTGGCTATAACTTTTGAAGGTTAAGAGATTATTGTATGAATTTTAAAAATTCTCGATGAATATAGATTTAGTTGAGAATAGTAAAAAAATTATTTTATCAACTTGTTGCTCTCACGTTTGGGGCAGGTGTAGCAAAAATTTTGGGGCTTTTCTGTTCCCAGGCTCCTATCATCTCAATTTTATGCAAAGTATCCTTATTTGATATAACTATAAACATATAAAAGTTTTGAGTTCGCTCCATGTCTGGAAGTTAGTTATCTCAAACTTCAAAAAATCCTGCATCCGCCCCTGATATATATATATATATGAAATATTATATATATATATATATATATATATATATATATATATATATATATATATATATATATATATATATATATATATATATATATATATATATATATATATATATAATATTTCATAAAAATAGATTCAGAATTCTACATGTCTTTTAAAGTCATTTAAATGTCATTAATGTATATATTTTAGATATCGGCGACGTGGAAGAAAATGTTGACGGCAATGCAGAAATATAGTTTCTTATGTATATTTTTGAGTTCGCTCCATGTCTGGAAGTTAGTTATCTCAAACTTCAAAAAATCCTGCATCCGCCCCTGATATATATATATATATATGAAATATTATATATATATATATATATATATATATATATATATATATATATATATATATATATATATATATATATATATATATATATATATATATATATATATATATATATATATATATATATATATATATATATATATATATATATATATATATATATATATATATATATATATATATATATAATATTTCATAAAAATAGGTTCAGAATTCTACATGTCTTTTAAAGTCATTTAAATGTCATTAATGTATATATTTTAGATATCGGCGACGTGGAAGAAAATGTTGACGGCAATGCAGATATATAGTTTCTTATGTATATTTTTGTGAAATAAAAATTAAGTAATGTTAGTTAAAATGTTTCTTTAGTTATTTAATTTAATCCTTTTTTATGACTAATTTAACCGCTGTAACACCTTTGTATCAAACAAGTCCCAGCAAAGAAAGAAATATCTAAAATGCATCTAATATGCATCTAAAAACTGGTCTAAAAGACGTCTAAATTCACGTCGTGAACGGGACATAAATAGATGTCTATCTTATAGATGTCTTTTAGATGCATTTTATTCGACACAAATAAATGCCTTAGATGCATAAAAGATGTGAAATATACATTTAAAGATGTATATTAGATGTATATTAGATGCATAAAAGTGCTATTATTAACTAAAAAACTATTATCTATCTTTTTTAAACGCGCTTTATACATCTATTTAAGAGACGTATTTTATACATCTAATATGCATCTGTAAGATGTATATTTCACATCTTTTATGCATCTAAAGCAATTATTTGTGTCGAATAAAATGCATCTAAAAGACGTCTATAAGATAGACGTCTATTTATGTCCCGTTCTAGACCTGAATTTAGACATCTTTTAGATCAGTTTTTAGATGCATATTAGATGCATTTTAGATATCTTTTTGTTTGCTGGGTTAGGGTAACCGTCATTTAGTCTATCCAGCTGATTATTTCTAGTTTTAGTACTAGTTTTTTGAATAAATTGAATTTCAATATCTGTATAGCTTCTAAGGGGACGCTGGTTATTGATTTCTTGCATTGCGTAGCGATTAGTTTCAACTACCATACTATTTATAAGCTCTTCTGTAACAAATAGTCGAAAGAAATCCAATGGTTTTTTGCTTTTCCATGTTAATCTTCAAACCAGGAGTAGGCAGTAAATTTAATTTTCTTAACAATATTCTGCTCATCTTTCCATTGATTTAAATTTCTAGATGGATTTGTTTCAGAAGTTGTTTTGTCAGGCAAAATATTTCTTAAATTTACTTGCCGAGCTTTATTTTGATTTTGTCTGTAAGCAAGACCACCCGTTGTTCTAGCTCTTTTTAGAGGCATTAAAAAATGTTCTGCAGTGGCTGCTGTATGAACTTCTGTTAACTGATCGTCATCTTTTTCTTCAGTGCTATTATCTTCAGATTCTGATTCTGATGCAGTCAAGCTGCAAGACGTTGTAGTATAAGCAAAAAATGAGTCTGAGTCTTCAATATCATCATCTTCACTATCTCCACAATCTTCCATAACTATTTGTGCTGCTTCAATTGCGGAATATCTGCGTTGAACTACTATTAGATAGATAAATTTATAAGTTATATATTTGTAAAAGGGAAATTGCTTATTTATACTAAAAAATTTTACAAGTTTACATGTAAAACATTATAAACTAAAATGCACACTTAGGTTTTTCACCCTTTATTCATAACAATGTAGTTACAAATTTATTTTAGATTATATCCAAAAAAAAAAATAACTTAGAATTAAAAAATCGAAATATAAATTACCTTTTTTACTCGTGATAAATGCCAATGTGCATGTGCAAACAGAAAACACAAGTCTATTCTATCACATCTCTATTCTAATGCATCAAATAAGCTACTTTGTTAGTCACCACAATGAGTTATACAATAATAAAAAAATACTTACGAAATTACTTACGAGTATACTCAAAAATACTTACGAGTATACTCGTACTTCGGCACTGGAGAAAATAAATTACTCACCAGTGCCAAAGTACGAGTATACTCGTAGTGCTTATTTTTTGTCAATTATATTCAGTATAAAAAGTACTATAAAAATTTATTTGATTAAAAATATTATAATTATTGAAATGTTGATATCTAACTTTGACAATGGGAATGAAACCATGCAAAACAGCCTCGGCAAAAGTTAATCATATCAGAATTTACGGCTCGGCAAAGAAATTAACCATAGCTAAAAATAGCTTGGCAGTTAACGTGTTAAAAAGCAGATTTTATAAAAAACCACACGATATATATTTACACTTAAAAATACATAATATAAAAAAATGCATAGATATATTTACATAGATATATTTACATTTATTTTGAGAAATACAAAATTTGGTTCAAAATGTCCGCAATTTTGTAATTTTTGTGAAAAGTTAATTATTTTTGAATTAGGGCTATATATATATATATATATATATATATATATATATATATATATATATATATATACATATATACATATATATATATATATATATATATATATATATATATATATATATATATATATATATATATATATATATATATATATATATATATATATATATATATATATATATATATATATATATATATATATATATATTTTTTTTTATATATTAAATTATGTTATTATTATTTGTTATTATTATTATTTTTATAATTATTATTTTTACTCAATGCTATTGGATTACACAATTTGTTACACATCAATATTTATTTTTAACTGGAATATGTAAAATATTTTTTTTATAATTAATTATTTAAGCGATTAATAACATGCATTAAAAAATTGATATGAGTTTTAAAACCGCCAGGTTGAATGCAAAAACCCGCCATATTAAATGCAAAAAACCGCCAGATTAAATGTAAAAAACCGCCATATTAAATGAAAAAAACCGCCAGATTCGTGCAAAAAACAGCCAGATTAAATGCAAAAACTGTAATAAACGAATAAGTTCTTCAAATAATTTTTTAGCAGCTATTACATCTTTTTACCAGTGGGCACGAGCAGAGGCGTATCTAGGCTAGCATATGGCCAGTTGCCAAGGGCGCAACATTCAAAGGGTGTCAATTATTCGTATAATTATCTAGGAAATAAAATGCATATACGCATATTATTTGTTTTCCAAAAAAAAAGTGTTATTGCTTTTGTTATAAAGCTTTTGTTACGAGAATAGACAGTGACGTTTGAAGCAGTGGTGGATTCAGGTCATTGTCTTAGGGGTGTAGTTTGACTAACAAAAAAAAATCTGTTTTTTTTCTTCAGATAAACCACTGTTTTATTTGATTATTTAGAATGTTTTTAGAAAAGTTTGCTAATAAATATATTAAATGTGTGTGACTATAAATTCCCTTATTTATCTATTTAAGAATGTTACTTCGCTTCGGCGATGCTTTAAAAAATGATATTACTTCTTTCATTGTACCAATTGTATATCTTACAACTCGCACAGGCGAACATTTGGAAATTGATAATTTAAAGCATGGTTGTAACATGGACTTTTTATTGCGTTTGGTAGGATCTTTTGTAATTTCGTGACTGCTCCGTTGTTTTCACCTAACATAAGGCTTTAACTTGAAGCCAAATTTTATCAAAATTTTTGCAACTGTGTTTGCTAGCAATTCTCCAGTTAACACAGGTTCATAAGTAAAATCAGAATAATTTTCAGCATGGCAGTTTAAAAAACCAATGAAATCTTCATGGATTTCACAGGTATTAACATCAATATATCTAAATACGACTGTCATTAAAACTATGACTGCTAACCGTTGTTTCATCAAAGTTAACGCTATAAAACTTTCTTTTAAAAATTTTTCTTTTAATTAAGTCCTGAATTTATTGAGCGCAGAGTTCAATTATTTTATTTTGAATACTTTTACTTATGTATGTTGCTTTAGAACTATAGTTATTTAAATGATTTTAAATAACTATAATTCTAAAGCAACATTTTTTAAAATAATTTTCTCAGTACTTACTCGAAAGCGAAGCGATTCCCGAAAATTGCCATCATTAATTACTGAAGAGTTTTGATTTATTTCAAAGATCGGCCCATCATCGTGATGACCTCGCCAAGCAATATTCTGTCAACCAATAAATATTATAGATTCAATTAAAGGCTTTAACTGTTCTCAATTTTCTTTAGCTTGTTTAAGTTTTCCTTTGTTAACTAAATATATTAATGTCCGTCTACATCTGTAGACAGACATTCATATGTTCTGCGAAAATCTGATGCTGCCAACTTAGCAACTTTGTGATACGTATTGCAATCATGTAGTTGTAAGTCTCCATTCTTGCTCAAAAGCTTTGAATAACTTTTAAGAGGTAAAGTAAGTAGACTGTGTATTCCCCTAACTTTTGCAAAAAGAAAGCAATACTTTCAAAAAATTACATAAAGGCATTCTGAAATCATTATCCATGGAAATTTATGTATATGTTTCTCGGACAAAAAGCAATTAACATTCTTCTTCTTCTTTAAGCGCACAGTGGAAATTTGTAATTTGGACCAGGAAACCAATTGCATTTCAATATTCGGTATTTATTTTGTTCAGTTACCTGATGTGTTAAAATGCCTCTACGTCTATAGGCAAACTTTTGTCATCTTTTCATCTTTTGTTGCGGGTGTTGAATCTTCTTTATTAATTTCTGCGTTAGTTTTACTTGTAAAATTATCAGCTTCAATACCAAGTCAAGGTTCTGGAGAAAAAGGACAAAGTTTTATTGTAATTTGATTATTTTCAGCCCCGCCAATAAATGCACAATTAAATCGTTTGGATGATGACACCAAAGATAAAGACAAAACGATAGGACCAGCATGGTCCTGTATTGGTAGAATTTTAATTTTTTTGACAAAAGATTCATCTAAAGAGCTTGTCTTCGTTACCCTGTTGGTCATTGCAGCTAATAAAAATAATTTTATTTAAAATAGTAAAAATCATTCGTCATTTATTTACTT